AAAAATAATTTTATATTTACAATATTCTAAACTAATACAATTGTATTATAAGTAACACAAAGCAATACTTACCATTTATCAATTTATAAAGAAATAAATATTAAAAAAAATTTTTATTCATAAATTTATAAACATTTGCTAAATCATAAAAATATGGGAACTAACTATAAGGAAATCCTTATTATTGGCCATTTTATAAAGTTTGAATTAATTTTAATGAACAATATAATATAATAAATAGTTTTTATTATTTTTGTTGTCAGTTCTCAAGAACAAAGAAAATTTATAAATTCCCTTTCATCATAAACAAAATAAACCAAACCAATCTAAACCAAAGAATATATATTCTATTCATACATTTCTATCCTAAAAATGTTGTCGGCATTAAATAACTCATTGAGGTTGATATGCCATAAAACAAAATAAACCAAACCAATCTAAACCAAAGAATACATACTCTATTCATACAAATCTATCCTAAAAATGTTGTTGACATTAAATAACCCATTGAGGTTGATATGCCGTTAAACAAAATAAACCAAACCAATCTAAACCAAACCAGCACCTCAAATAAGAACCCTGCTTGATACCAGTGAATATCAATGGCCACATACGATGAAAAAACATTTAAAGATATCAAATGTCACTTTATTTCATACAATTTAAGAGAAGCACTTTCCTGAACACCTGCTCAGTAACACCAAATACCCAATGGCCAGGGTGCCATTGGGCACAGTGTTATTTATGATGAAAAAACATTAAAATATATAAAATGGTAGTTTATTTTGCACCAATTAAGTGAAGGGTTACCTAGATAAGAATGGCAAAGATTGATCAAACTTCTCAGTAATGGCCATACTCGTTTATTGAGTCAACAGCTCTGTGTGTGTGTGTGTGTGTGAATTTGGGTAACATTCATTTCTTTAAGCATTATCATTATATTTAATAAACAAAAATGCTTATTATTTTTTAACAATAGTTAAAAAATAATAAGCATTTTTGTTTATTAAATATAATGATATTTTTTTCTGATGTGCAAATATCCTTTTGCAAATGTGATTGTTTACTGTGAATAAAATGGCCCTGATAATGATTAATGTGAGTGTTTTGGATAACACAACATAAATTTTGTTCAATTTATCCACATACACAACCTCATCTGTGAAAGAATATTCATACATTAGAGAAAAGAACATTAAATTTAAAATGACTGTTGTTTTTAACATATGCATAAATATAAAAGTGGACACACCTATGATGGCTGTTGACTCAGTAAATGAGTATGACCATTGCTGATAAGTTTGAGAGATAAGTTTGAGAGATGACAGTTTGTTTTATGCTTGAGCACAATCTTCAAGTAATAAATTTCTTTTTAATAGTAGTGAGTTAATTTCTTTTTTAAAAAAAGGAATACAAAGAAAAATGGAAAAAGAAGGATACTTATACTTAACATCAGGAAGAGACAGTTAAAATTTCTGGAGCACACGATGAGGAAAGAGAGCTTGAAAAATTTGATACTCAAAGGACAGAGTGAAGATTAGAGAGACAGAGAAAAGCCAACACACAACCTACCTGATGAATTTAAGTGAATGGTTGGCAGAGAAAAGTTACGAAGTGATGGCCAAAAGGCAAAAGTTATTAAGAGCTAAAAGGGACAGGAAATTGTGGAAAGCCATGATTGCCAGCATCCTGAACAGACATGGCACATAGAAGAACAAATGGATTTCTTTTAAAAATTATTAATAAAAACGGAATGAAATACATTGGAAGACATGTTACATTGTCAAGAGTCTTGATCACCCACATCCTGATGGGACGTGTGCGATGATTGCAAAATGAAATTTCCTGAGAAATGTATTTAGAAATGTTAGTGCACACTTTTCTGTTGGGTGCCTCTTAAAAGGATTGTTTTTTTTTTAAATCATTTCATCCCAAGCAAAGCAGGAGTGCCACTAGTATGCAAGGAGCTAGGGTGAGTGAAAGTAATGGAAAAGACAGGGGGATTGAGGAATGGATAAAAAGAAGAATGGGGATCAAGGCATCAGAAGATGTCTATTGGCATTACATTTAAAATTTCGAAAATTATAAGGAAGCATAAGAGGAAGGGAGTCCCACTGTTGGGAAGTGTGAGAGAAGAAGCTGTTAGAGTAGAAGAGGTGGTTGCATTTAAGTGTTTTGACAGTGAAAGGATGGGACTGAGATGCCAACCTAGAAGCACGCTTAAATTCATGCAGTGGCACATCAGTGAAAATAGCTCGTCAGAGCAGATGCCATGAAAATATTTATAAAAAAGACTGAGGGAAGCCATGTTAGGTTGGTGAGAAAGTGATTGAAGTTGAGATCCGAAGTCAGGAGCGATCACATTTGATATCAGTCTTTAGATTTGGTTGAGAACATCGAGATGAACAGTGGAGGGACCAGATCATATATGTCAACAGTATTTAATACATGGACAAATGATGGATTTGTAAATGTGAAGGATGGACTCAGACAAGAAAAACCTTCTAGAATGACACAGGGAACCAACTTTCTTTGCAGTAGATGCAGCTATTGATTCAATGTAATTATTTCACCTCAGGTCAGTGGCAAACATGAGACCAAGAAGGCGTAGTGAGGTGCTCACATGAAGTTGAACATTAACCATGTTGATAGGAGGCAGGGAAGTTTCTCTATGGTGAGTTATTTTTACTTTGTAAGCTTTTAAGAAAAAAGGTCATCCTGATGTTCTTTTCTTTTTCATCTTTTTATTGATGTTCACCCAATACTAGCCCAAGAGCCACTCAAGGTAGAGGGTTAATGTATGGTATTGTATGAGTGTAAGAAAGGACAAAAAGTTCATGCAGGAAAGTTTGGTTAACTCTAGACTTGAAGATTGTTGTGATTGGTAAAACAAGAGAATGAATAGACTTTGGAAAGAACTGGAAACCCAATCCTAAACCGGGTGCAAAGGATAGACCTCTACTCCTGTTCAAAAAACCGGGGAGGAACATGAACAGGATGATAGGCAAACCTATCTACTCCTATTGAGAGAGAGAAAAAATAATATTTCGATGTTTAGATGGAAACATTACAGATATAGAGTTTGAGGTAAACTTTAAAAGGAATATGAAACACAATCCTGAACTAGAAATGAGATAAACCTCTACTCCTGTTCAAAAATCCAGGAAGGAGTGTCAATGACTAATCAATATTTGCTCTCTTACAGAAATTGCACTTGAGCCAGTTTTGTTCGATTCCTTATGAAATAATTGTAGACTCTTTAATTATATGAAGATTAAAATAAATTTTATAATCTCTTCTTGCATCACTACTAAATTAAAGAAATACTAAATTATTATGACACTAATATTTTCTTAAGAATTGTGTAGTATTGGTAGGCATTATCAGTTGCCTGATTTTGGATATTTAGGTAAAGTGTAACACAAGGAGGGAGGCTTAGTAGTTTGAATGTTCACATTCTCACCATGAAACCTGGCTTTGAATCTCATTCCATTAAGAAGATGACTTCTTGATTTTATTGACTATTTGTCAACAATTTTGCTAGGGTAAAATCCCAACTCATTGTGACCAAGAGTTTGAGCATACTGGCCTTGTTCAAGCTGTTGATCATGCCAGATTATGTGTTCTCTCCCACAAACCGTAACTAAGGTCTGCTCAGCATTGTTACAGATGGGCTCTGTGGGTGTTGAATAAACACAAATTTCAAAAGGGATTGGTTAGCCATTCCAACAGACAGTAGTGCAAGGGACAGTGGAGCGTCAATGACAGTGTAGGGATGCAGAAGGCAGTTATCTCCCCGTTTATGGGAGGAATTTATTAACATACCTAGGGGCTTTGAGGGTCATCAGCTTGGATGGTGATAGTTGCTGATTAGCTCCCAGTAGAGGCAAAGGTGGCACCCAAGGGATTGAATGAAAATCATGCGTCTTAAGTAATCAACATAAAAATATCACAGGGCCATTACAATTAAGACCTTCTTTCTTCGTCTTTTCATATACTGCTTACTTATATTCTATAAGTTCTCTCTGTGGGACAAACTGTGATAAATATAGATATATTTGTGTATAATATGTGTATAATAGGTATAATATGTGTATAATATGTGTATAGATATATTTGTGTATAACACATTTGAATATTCTAATGTGTATATAAAATGTTTTCAGACACAACTGATTTTTTTCTTTTTATGTGCTGTGTCCCTTCAGGATGTAGGCGATCATGGCCCTCCACTTCTCACTATCCCTTGTAGTGCTCAATAGGTTTTATCACTCTGTCACCTCCCCCAGACCACATTCTGTCATCCACTTGCTTAACCCCGCTAGTTATGTCATGCATTGCTTTCCCTTGTCTCTCTTTCCCTCTATTCATCCTGTGAGTATCAGATTCTCCAGGCCCTCTTTTCTCATTACATGTCTCAGAAATTTCAGCTGCCTCTTCCTGATGTTAAGTATAAGCTTCCTCCTTGTTTACATTCTCTCCAAAACCTCATCGTTGCTCAAATGATTGGTCCATGGTATCCTTAGCATCCTTCTGTAGAGCCATACATCCGTTGCCTTGAGTCACTTCTGCATCTTTGAGGAGAACATCCAACATTCACTGCTGTAAAGGAGGACAGATGTCACATAGCAGCTCAGTGCACTTTTCTTTGTTACCAATGAAATATTTATTTGTATTGTATTGATGCGGCATTTACCCTGGGCAGATTGAGCCGGCTTCTTCCTGTTATGAGAAGAAGATTCTTGGGATAAATTACAGAAGTAGGGTACCCAGGCCTACTCGGATAACGTTCTTGCTTGCCGTGGGGTTCCCACAGACGCAGAGACAGGAACGACCAGAAGCCGCCGGTTGCCGATGCAGACGCTCCTTGTATTTTCACCAGAGCCCTTGTTAGCTGGCGTGTGTGTCAGACCTGTCCGCCTTGGGTGGCCCTACCAGGAACGAAGTTCCGGGCAGCATAGCTCTGACACTACTGTTTACACCCCCCCCACCGACTGTGTTTACGGTCAAATCACGCTGAAAACACTGGTTCTCGTTTGATCACCGAAGTTAAGCATCGTAGAGCCAGGTCAGTACTTAGATGGGGGACCGCTTGGGAACACCTGGTACTGTAAGCCCCCAAAGTCCAACCCAAGACCAATGAAATACTCCTCGCAATACTCTGCCTAGCTTTTGAAATGCATCCTTGGTCATCCCAGTATGTCTTCGGATCTCAGTGCCCCACTTACCGTCCTCCAGCAAAACACTACCCTGATATTTAAACTTCTGCACCTGCTTGATTTTAGTGTCTCCAGCCTGCAAATCACATTCCAAGCTCATCCTTCTACTGATAACCATGCATTCTGTCTTCTTGTAGTTTATTCCTAGTCCCTTCTTGCTCTTCATTGCTACCTTATGTAGGAGGTTTTGCAATTCCTTTTTTGTGTCTGCTATCAGTACTGTGTCATCAGCATATCTTATTTTAAGATTGTGGCCGCCAATGCTGAATCCTGGTAGGATTTCCGATTCCCTCAGAAATGCGTCACTGTATAGGTTGAATAAGTCTGGTGAGAAGACACATCCTTGCCTTATACCCCTTTCTATTTTTGTATATCTGCTGAACTCATTCTCTATGCATATACATGAGTTTGCTTGATAATTCTAATATCTTTCGCAAATATATCAAGGTTGCTGAGCAATTCCATCAGGTTCTTGTGGTGTATTTTGTCGAATGCCTTTGCTTAGTCTATAAAACATAGGCACACATCCTTCTGCAGTTGTATTGCTCTTTCTGATAACATTCTGAGCATAAATATTGCATTCCTTGTTCTGGTGTCTATAACAAACCCGCACTGTTCTTGTCCTATTTTTGGTCTGATTATGCTGCACACTCTATTTCATCAGAATACGCATGATGAATTTTGTTACGTGGCTCATTAGACTGATTGTTCGGTGGAGTTCACATTCGTTTGTGCCTGGTTTCTTAGGCAGTGCTATGGAAATAGATCTGCTGAAGTCTTTTAGTATAGCTTCACTGTTGTAGATTTCATTCATTATTTCTGTGATCTTGTCTATACCAAAGTCATCTCAGGCTGTCAGCATTTCTGTGATCTTGTCTATACCAAAGTCATCTTAGGCTGTTAGCATTTCCGTTACAATTCTGTCTGGCCCTGCCACCTTGTTTCTGTTCAATTTGGCCAGTGCAGATTCTATTTCAGTTTTTAAGAATTTCAGGTCTGTCGATAGTTCTCTGTATTGCTGGTTGTTCTCTTTTGTTGTGGAAGAGTTCTCCATTATACTCGCTCCAGCACTGAAGAATTTTCCCTTCTCTAATATGAGCATTCCATCCTTTGATTTTAAGCAGCCTGTTGACGAGCATGTCTTCTGTCCTGTTAGTTGCCTTATTTCTTTATGTATATCTCCATTGTTGGTGGTACTCAATCTCTCTATTTCTGCACATTTTTGTTTAACCACTCTTTTTTAGCCTGCCTGCATTTGGTTCTTATTTCATTGTGTAATTTTCTTTATTCCATTCCATATCTTGGCACAGTTTTCTTTCTCATTTGCATCATGTTGAGAATCTCATCAGTTATCCATTAGTTTTTTTCTTCTTTGTCCATTCACCTTTGGGTTTATATCATTTGCTGATATCTAAAGCGTCTCTTTGTGCATCCTATTTCAAGTTTTCATTGTGTTCCTTGTATCTTTTTTCACATTGTCCATATATTTTTATTTCAGGTATGGGTTGCTTGTTTGTTGTATTGCAATTTGAGTGCTGTGTTAGGCTTCTTCAGTTTCCGCAGTTTCAATCTTAGTTTACATATAACAGGCCGATGATTGCTTACACAGTCTGCATTTGGGGAAGTGAACCATTGCATTCCTGAATTTAGGGAATTAATTTCTTTCAGTTATTCTAGTCCTTTCTTCCACTGTGTTAAAATGTTAGTATATCATGGGTATATATATATATATATATATATATATATAATTATTTATTTAAAAATATGATTCCAACGTTACATAAGAGTTCTCATGTTTCAAAACAAGAGCCGAAAACTTCAATATAATTATTTGAATTAAAGTACTAAGCTCTGTTCCATCTTCAAGCAAAATTTTTTTTTGAATAACTTATTCCTGAAATTTACACGTTTTATAAGCATATTTATTATTGAAATTAAAATTATGCTTTTGTATCGAGCACTATTTTTTTTAAATAATAACAAAAATACTAAAGAACTTTGGATTATTTACCTAACGAGTTCTTTCCTATTTTCTATATATTTTTACATATATATATATATATATATATATATATGCACATGGCTGAATGGTTAGAACATTTGCTTTCTGACCATGGGACCTGGGTTTGAATCTCATGATGGTCTATTTTTCAGGAAGATGACTTCTTGATATTATCGGTCTGGAGGAGGCAAACCCAGTGTAAAGCACTTTTAGAAAGTGCCTGAAAACCATACCACAGGCTGATCCAAGCCTTCTGTATGAAATTGGGTAGACAGGATGCTTGGGAGCCATCAATGGTTGTGCTAACACAAAGTCAGAAGTCATCATGACTGAGGGTTTGAACATGCTGACCTTGTTCAGAGTGTTCATCATGCTAGATAACACACATGATCCCAGAAACTGTAACTAAAATCTGCTCAACATAGTTGCCCTATAAACCACAGATGCACTCTGTGGGTGTTGAAGAATGGGGATTAGTTAGCAACAAGGAATAGCTATCTGCCCTAGTAGACTGGCACCCTCAGATATGAGTGGCTGTGCCATTTAGATTTTAGATATATGCCGATTGTGGGCCTTGGAGAGTGGAGAAAACTGATATTTCTTCTCTCCTTCAAAGCAACCATATTAACAGTATTTTTCACAGTAAATTATTTATTCATAAGAATAATAGAAGATGGGGAAAGCATATATAGAAAGAGACTAAATTAAACCATCAACACAGTTTTATTACTTTAAGAGGATTATGGAGCATTAATGGCTAATCAGAGCTTGGTATGAAATATATATTTTGACCAATCAATTTTTGTTGCATTTGGTCATTTTTAAGATAAATTTTATCCTCATATAAATAGAGCAAAAATTAATCAATATCAATTAGTTTTGTTGTAAACAATGCATGCCCAATCATCTGTAGTGAATGCATTACAAATGAATGCTGAACATTCATTTGTGTTCACTGACCTACAGTTGAACACTCACTAACACTATATGCTGAAGTCAATGAATGATATGCATATATATCAAGGCAATAGACAAATTTGTTATTTATTATTCCAGTACTATCTTCAGTTACACGTTATTGACAAATTCTGACTCTATAATGTTAATAACTCCTTTATGATCAAATTTGGTCGTTATTGGGACTTTGTAAATTATTTTAGATGTCAGTATGCAAAATTATTTTTAATCCTATTATATATTGATTCCTTCTTACAGTAACAAAAAACAGAAACGTAAATAGCCTAAAGCACTTTAATATTTGAGGAATGGTGAACATACAAAAGTGACAAAGAAATTGCAAATGCCGGCAATAGAAAATTGTTTCAGGGCAGCAATGTCAAAAGTTTGTGTGGTTTCTTTACAAAGGATTCAAAATGTCCTTGAGAAAAATAGAAGCAGTTCTTCATTCTCACCATGCATGTGTACAATGTCTTGTCCATGTCATTTAAAATCAAATTCAGCCCTGCTCTCCATTAAAATGGAAAACAAGACCAAGAACTAGAATTGAAAATAACCTTGATTTATGCTAACTTGAAGGACAAAACAATTTCACAGTGCATCCAATGTAATTCATATCTTCTAACACACATATAAATATATGTAAATTTTAATATATATATATATATATATATATATATATATATAATTCATAAATGCTAATTATATAGAAAAAAGATGGAATTTATTTTTATCCATTTAGAAATTTATATATACATGACAAAAAATATCTTTATCTTTAATTTTCAAAAATCTTGTGAAAAGTAATATTCAGGCATTTTTCTGCCTTTCTCTTCTTTTGAGCTTCGTTTTTTTTAATTCTTATATTTTGCTATACATTGGCTGTAGAAATGTTTTTAGAGAGAATCTGTTAGACTAATGGTTGTTAAAAGTATGTTTCAACCTTTCTGAAGTTTTATATTGGGCTTCATTTCTGTTTTCATTGAACAATGCTTCTATTTTTCAAATTGCCATGTCCCTTCAATGATGAAGATGAGCATGGTTCTCCACAGATTCCATTTATTTATTACTAGAGAATTACTATGCCTTTTTGTGAAAGATATCATCGTGATTTCTTGTTGCCTTTTCCAAATTACGTATGTTGCTTTTTATCATATCTCTCAGATTGTTATTCAGTTAAAAAAAGCAGTATGGCTGGAGTATGAAGAAATAACTCCAATTAGGAGTTTGTTATGTTGATTATTTTTTTTCTATTTACATTATTTAAGTTGTATGGACTGTTTTCATCATCTATATTGTCATATTCATGATGTTTCAGCCATTGTATACTCTGGCCTTCTTCAGAGGATATACATGGAAACTTCAAACTCAACTCTCCAAGTTTTTGTCCACCTCTGCTGCAGCCAGGTATTGAACTTGCAACTCTTTGGGTTAAGTTACTGGATTCCTTCAAGCAATGCGTTTATATCTTTTATGTCCTTAGAGACATCAGTGAATGAATTTTTGGGACTTATAAACCTAATGTCTCAGTAAACATTTTTTTTTTATCAGAGCTCATATTAAAATTTGATGTTATTGTTGTTTTTCTCTAGCACTCTGCATTACTGGTTCATATATTTTACTAGCAGGAGAGCCTGGCGTTGCCCGGGGATGTAACAGTAAGAGATAGATCAAGTATCGACCATCATAAAGACTGAAAAATAAAATTGACAAAGATTATTGTTTAAGGTTGACGGACATGCATGTCTTAATTAGTTTTTTGTTTTTTTTTTAACAAATTGGTCAAACCCAAACTCAAACAAAAACATTGTTTTCAATCGTTATGAGTCTATCGATTGAATAGAATTTTATTATAGACAATTGTCTTGTAAATGGAATTTTTAAAGCATTCTGAATGTGAAAATAAAGAAAAAAAGTGTACAAGACAATAAGAAACAC